TTTAAGTTGACGAATTTTACAGGGAAACAATGAGCGTAGTAGCAATCACTGAATGATGAATTCACAGTAGCAACATGTCAGTGAAATACGGTTGTGAGAAAAGTCAAGAGAATTGATTTCGTTTTTGTTGATTGCTTCACCACATATACAACGCTCCACTTCATAGTATTTCTAGTATTGTCCGTTAGATCCACCCGTTAATTTAGAACTTTGTGTCTGTTTTTACATCACTTCATTAGCCATTATTCTCAATAACAGTCGAGAATCGTGAGGCAAAGCTAAGCCCGGATAAACTGGTATTCATTTGGGGAAGGGGTCAATGTGGCCGAGTGGATAGTGTGCTATGTTTTTTTTAGTCGTCACTCACGAGTGCGAAATTCTTTAACTCTAAAACGTATTTTTTTAAACAATGAAAGTCACACTGATATTTGAAAGATATTTGTATTGCTGTCGCCTATGTGGAATACATATCGGAGTCGGTAGACTAATTGCAATAACATGTTTATATTTTCACGAATTAACAACCAATGCATGGAAATCAAGATACCATCTGTGTTTGATATCTGTGAAAATACACATGTGTTATGTTATGTTAATCCAAACCATTAAAGCGCGGTAGTCGTCGCGCTGCGCATGTGTGAGATTTATTCCTACATTTTTCCCAACTGATTAAAATCCGATGTAGGTATAGACTCTTTTTTTAATTTCCATATTTTATATATTAATATTTTTGTTTAATGTTGACTATTTTTGTTGTTGTCTTACTTTATTCAGTTGTTTTATATAGTATCCAGGCCGTTCTTAATGTTTAAGTTTTCAAGACGGCGATCGGGGTACAATATAAAAAAAGAATAACGGCAAGTAAAAACTAGACATAATTAAACACAACTACTAAGTAAAATACGGAAATTAAAAAAAAATGAACATATACCTACATCGGATTTTAATCAGCTTGTTTCTATCTGCAAAAAAAAAAATCAAACGTGCACTTCGCCAACCACCACTTAATGCAAATCGTGTTCGGATTGGCTATAAAATAATATTGACTTTGTTCAGTTGTGGGAATATATCTGAAACATTGTTAATTGTTCGAGATGAATTGTACGGATTACGATGACATTGGAAGCATTAGTTACTATGGCTGAGTATATCGTAAGCCTATCGCGATTCCGTCGGCCCCGGATGAAGTTCAAGTGGGTGTCATATGTCTTATTTTATTGCAAGTCCCATAAAACTTTAGGTCATTAATACTAAAAAAAAAAATATTTACTGCGCGTGATATCTTGACAGTACACAGAGATTTCAAAGAGCGCCTATAATCTACATATGAGAGCGAGACTCTCATATATGCATAATCTTGCACAAACCCGGGGCACTGAGAGTAAATTAATGCGCGGCTAGATTTCTCATCAAATCATTGCCCATAAGTGTGTGAAGAAGGTCGTGACTAAGATTGTCTTCGAAGCATTACAAATCTGTGCGACTTATTGGACCGGATTAGACGATGGTCACATCTAGTCCATTAGTCAGTAGATCCCCCATGACGTCACGCACATGTCACAGGGATATCCGTGCATTGCTTCTTTAAAATATATAAACAGCTTGGCTTTAGTTGCCGTCGCAATGACTTTGTAAAGTTTAGAGATGCTCCCTCGATAATAAGATAAACGACTCCATCTTGTTGTTGCGACAATGAGAGGCTACCGTGAAGAGTTGATAAAATTACAATTACACGAGGTTGCCAGGGCAACCTCCAACCATCTTCCACACTAATCAGTCTTCGCGGCCTCGTTCTGGGTTTCAATGAATATATAACTGTCTGTGGCTTGATTTGATTTCGTTTTGAAAGCAGTTCCATGACTACAAATGAAATTAGCACACGTAAACACGTTCATGCGTATACCGTGACCATCATACTAGTTAAATATTCGCCCATTCAAGAACGTAAAATGTAAATTATTACTCCAAACACACAAACACTAGACGCACAAGAGGAATAGAATTTCTTATTTTTATTTTCTTCCTCGTGTTATTGTACTAATGATATCTTGCGCTATAGCATATACCCTTCAAATTACGTAGAAATATACATTTAGATAATCTAAAACTCCCCAGACTGTTACACGTTCCCTCTTTGTTGTGTTCAAAACCCTTCAAACCACAACAGACATATTCCTGCCAAAAAAAAATGGCCCGTGCTTCCGTCCGACGCTTGATACTAAAATAGAAGAATCTTGTGAGTGTTTTCTTTTAAATGTCCAACTTATTTGCAGTTTGGATAAGAAATACGACTCGCTGTTTTTAACGTTTTCACCCCCAAGTCATAAACCATTTCTGTTGACGATAACACTGTATAAAAATGGGTTTGTGCCGTGACGATATGTACATGACAACATACTTTGATCAATGTGACTGTGTGCGTCTTATCGTTTGGCAAGGTATTGTACACACATACAGTTAAATTACTTCAAGAAAAATACAAAAAAATTAAGGTGTAAATAAATATCCATATAAATAAAAAAAATGTCAGATGAGCTACAAATTATATTATTAATAAAACGACGAAGTAACATGGCAGACTATTCGATCTCGTCGGTGATAATCGGCGCCCCCGTTACCCACAATGCACACCGTTCACGTGAGACTGACTCACTTGTTTTGTTAGAAAATAACATTTCCGCTGATTTTAGACTTTGGGTTAAGGTATAATTGAATGACGAAAATAAACCAAACCAGCATTTTTTTTCCCATGTTTTCACAGTATCACGAAAAATTACGAAAAATGAGAAAAAAACTACAGCCAATAGTTGTTTTTCTACACAATAAAATAAACATTGTTTGACGCTTCGCCATTATTTCGTAAAACATGTTTGCCAAGCCGGAATTCTACGAGAACCACCGAATACAACCGAATTAATCTACCGCATGTCACGTGTCGAAAAATGTGTAGGATCACAGTTAAATATGAATGTGCTCAAATTATATGATGTTGATATGTTCATGTGCATTAAACCACGTCTCCATAATAAGATTGCCTCGAGGGATTTTTTTTATGTTTTTTTTTTTTTTTTATTATTATTATTGGCTGGTACTCTATTTCACTCCCTGAACTACGTATTTATTAATAGTTGTTTATGTCCAGAACGTGCCACATTTTTATACATAGTGCAAAAAATGGTTGTTACAAATCTCTTGTAATAATACTTAATCCAAAATACTCTACATTTTTTTTCGTTGGAAATATAATGCAAAAGTAAATGACTGCCATCAAGTCAGATAGATTGGCCAAAAACAAATTGAATTTAACCCCAATTACTACTTGTCGTTTCATTCATATCGATTCAGCCATCCCGTAACGTTCATTTTAAATCACAGTACAATTGTAAAGCATAGCAACTGAGAATCATAGCCGATTTCCACTTAACTATTTTAATTAGTTTGTCAACGGGAATTAGTATGCCTTTGTTTTGTTTTTTTGTCTTCAAAATAACAGCATTCCACTGACTTGTTCATCCTGTCATGCGTTCAGCTCAGTGAGAAATACGACCACGTGATCAGAGCCTCGTTAATTTCTTATTGTTTTGTGGGTCATTCGTCCCTCTCTGGTCATATCCTGGGTTATTTTCAATCATAATGGACCTTCTTATCATGAACTGGCATACTACCTTTGTTCTAAAAATGAGTGTTAAACTAACTCAAAGCTGGAATGCCAGGCTACCAATCACACTGGGATATGTTGATCACGACGTTGATTGGATGATAAATGTAGCACGCTGCTAATTTGAATATGCTGATTTTTCGAGCGACGAATGAAAGTTGTCACAAGGACAATAGTGCGACCACCCCATTCTTGGAATACATTTACATGGATAATGAGTGAAATATACATTATATGATGAATATTATAGAGAAGGACGAACGACCAAGGAAATAAGAGAAGGGTAACCAGGCTAACATTGATCTATGGGCGTGATTTAGTTTGATATGTTTCAATACTTTCATTTCAATCCATGCAGTCACGGTTGTTTTTATGTGACATGCGTATCACTTGTAAAATGATGTTTGTACAAATTCACACGCGTTTTGCACACATCAAGTAAACGATAAGATAAAGATAAATTTGTAAAAAGTCAAATTATTACACTGATAATAAGGATACACGCACACGGTGCTTGTTGACAAACTTGAAAGCCCCTCGGGTAAGCGTTAAGTGCAAGAAGGACGTCGTTCAACGCCGGTGACTTCGCGGCCCAGAATTAAATAGTACAAATTTTAACCAAAACAAAACAAAACACATAGAAATGAAGTACATTTGTTGGTTTGCAATCACACGAACATTGCCAATGTATGTCAGTTGGCACCAATGCTGATTGCTTTAAAATTACATGTAATATTAAATTGCGTCACCGGTGTTCGACGATATCCTCCTTTGTCAAACTGCAGTACTTACTCAAAGGGCTTGGCGGTTAGTCGCGACAATCCCCTGTGAGAACACGGGCAAAACGACAAGGGAATGTTCAGTGATATTAGCACACATAGTACATTAGTTGTGCCAGCACGTACAAATGGACACCTACTGACGTCAATAAAAAAGAATTTACATATTATCCCGAGGCGCCAAAATTGCATACATTTGATAGGAACTGTCTATAGCAATCGCCCTGACTTTTCAGGTCGACTGTATTTATTCGCGGTTCAACTCGCGAATTTTGTTTAGATAATATTAAATTGTGCTGCCTACTGAACAGTTCTTTAACATTTACATAATGTAGTACGTTGTTTTCTAAACGATTAACCTTCAATGCGCAAGTATTACCACGCATTACGTCACAGTGAAGACCTACCCATATATGGTGAGCCGTTTCATATCAAGGCAAGTCACGTCGCGCGCGGGCGGGTGAAGTATCCATTAAAATAATGTTAACACTTTCCCGGGAAGTAATAATAAAGCTGCCCGTTTAAAACTACAATGTTATTTCAGTCATTTTGGGCATTTGTCTCTATTGAATATGTCCACCACTTGAAGCAGTGCCACCGAAACTAGCGCTTAGCGGCCCAAGATCGTCTTCGATCTTAAGACTGCGCATCTTCTTCTCCAGCTTCGTCAGTCGCTGTTTCATTTTCATCTGAGCGTTGCTGTACTCATTGACCAAGCGTGTGAACTTCGCTTGCAAGTTGTCAATGGCAGTCTCCAGCATTTGGATCTTCTCCTCTTGTTCGACCTCCTCTTTGGACATCCCGCCCCTCTTGGCAGCTTCTTCGTCAATGAGGCCATCTTTCATAAGAATATGAGCCCCCCTTTCTTCAAGGATTCGTTTGGCATCCGGATACTCCTTCAATGCGTCGAGAAGATCGTCTTTTGATAAACAAAACAGATCAGAATAGCCAACACTTCGAACGTTGGCAGTCCTGCGGTTCCCCGATAAGCTACCCGGTACATTCAATATGCTAATTTCACCAAAATAGCTACCGTCACTCAAGGTAGCATATATAGTTCTACCGTCTTCCCCAACCACGCTAAGTTTTCCTGTTTTTACTATGTACATCTCCCGCCCAATATCACCCTTTCGGCATATGTAATCTCCCGGGCTGAACACTTGCGGGCGCAGTTTTAACACTAGTTCCACCAACAAGCCCGGATCACAGTCTTTAAATATTGTTACTCTTTTCAAAGTATCCAGATGCACGTGAATGGCAATCTCTGCTCTAAGTTTATCTGGGAGTGTCTTCAATATAACTTCCTCATCAAGTGTCTTTTGATTCGACCACAAGTAGTCAAACCACTTTATAACTCTCTGCTCCAAATCCTTGCTCACTTTTCTAAAATGCATATATTGTTTTATTCCATCCATGCGGTTCTGAAATTCCGACTTGGTTGCGTTCATGTTACTGATCATGGTACCCACATTACCGACGATGGTGGCGAATATCAAAACTCCCACCAAGAAATCAAAGATGACGAACGCGTATTCCACATCCATCACCGGAGCGGGCGTTTCACCAATGGTGGTCAATGTCAAAGTCGACCAGTACAGACTGTACACATATTTCCTGGTCAGACTGTTATGTGGCGGTATTGTATTGTTCGGATACACCCATGTATCGCTTCCAAAGCCAATGCTGGCTGATATAGCGTAGAATATGCAGGCGTTCCAGTGTATGATGATCATAATGTACAAGACAAGATTCGTTATCCTTAGCAAATTTGGGAAGTTGCTCCGCGTCTCTGTGCGATCAAAAAATTCCAACGCGCGCGGCGCCCTTAGTAGGCGATTGAAACGCAACCAGGGCGAGTTCACGCCTTTCCATATGTAGAAAACGTCCGTGGGTATGATTGAAATCACATCTAATTTAAATATTGTCGTTTTGAAATAGTTCTTGCGAAGTTTCTTCGTCTCGTGAACGAGTAACCCACTTTCAAGGTAACCTGCAAGAAAACGATATTACATAATATATTAGGCATCGCTGTAAACATACTGTGTGTTTGTTCGTTCGTTTGTTTTTTCAAAAATAAATATAACAAAATAAACATAGGTAAAATATGATATAGATGTTCGCCAATGTGGAGTTTTTTTTTCTGATTTTCAGTTTTTATTTAAAAAATGTATAGACCTCTAAACAATTCCGAGTCTAGTAACGCGGTGAATCTTTGGAAATTACAATGACGTGTTCGTAATGTGTGCTTTAGAATCAAACTAACCGTGTAATATGCCGTCCTTATGAAAACATCATTACCGGACATCATGATCTACAAATCTATCACATTCTTATAACAAAAAAAGTGTATAAAACAGTTAACAAAAATCCGCGGACACATCGGCGCGGTCAAGTTTCGAAAAATATGCAACGTGTTTACGTGCGCTGTGTACGTCACGTGGGACGCATATCAGACGCGGCGCTGACGACTATTGTCCTTTAAGAACTAGCGGGCACTCTGTACTTACTTGTTCTAGACTTGGCCACCATATCAAGTATGTACACTGCGTCTGATAGATAGTCCAGAGTAAGCCACATAGCCACGTTCTCGCTTTGTAACTCCAGAAATACCGCCCGAGCTATAATGAGATAAAGATTATAGAGAACCGCCATTGCTATAACGCACAGCCATCGGTAATAAAACGTCTCTGTGTGGTTGATAACAAAAGGACGCTTTGGTCGGCTGCCACTGGTGAGAGAAATAAACACAACATGGATCAATACATAGACCAATCACTGGATGGTATAGCTTCAGACAGTCAGGCGATTGGATGAGAGGGTCTGGTAAGGATTCCACATATGACAACGATGAACCTCGACACCCAACGTTGAAAACAATAATAAAGAATGGACCTTTCAACAAAATCAATGCAAAATGTATGTCTTTATACCTCAGGGTATATTGTTGTTGATGTATAATTTCACGATAATCTCGCGTGACAAAGTGTCGAATTTGTTCGCCATCTTTAAATATATTGGTAACAATATTATTATTATATTAATTAACATCAACGGTCATGTATCATATATTTAATTTCAACCTGAGTTCACTGTGACAGTTGTTTTCTCTGCCATTAGTTGATGTCATCTTAGCCTAACGAGGTCGCGTTAGTTGCGCCCTCCGCGGGTATGATGCCGTTCAGCCGGCGAGGGCCTACTCACTCCTACATGTCAGATTAATGTAACTGAACTGATTATTTTCAAGTTTTATAGAATTGTTCGGGTAATGTCACTCCTGTATTTCAAGTTCATTTCTACTTTTGTTATTCCCGCTGGTTTGGTCTATATTCATTTCCGTAAAGCATGTGGCAGTTGTTGTGTAGTCATGGCGACATTCAAACCTAATGTGAATGCTTCCCGCGTTTCCATATGGTATACGTGATTAATTGCACCTACGGACTATTTGTCCGTAGACTTGTCATAAAATGACGAGATTACAAGTTAGTTTCATCGTTTTCGTCATTTGTAACAAAGTATGCTACACACTGTTTGCGGCGCAGGGTTGCCCGTTGCAGTATTACCCTGTGCACAGCACCCTCCATGTAACAAGGCAAACCTATTACTCGAAACACCCCATGCATTCTCATACACTTTAAGTATCACACTAGTTGTCCAGTAACACGACACAAATACATAATTATACAATACTCCGACACTAGTCCCGAACTATAGAGGGCTTATTCGCTGATGTATGTGGCGCAATCCCTTTGACCGGTAGATAACGAACTTTAGAATCATTAAAACATAAGAGCAAACATGCGTAACATTTATGTTAAAGAGTGGTAGTCGTCACGTCGCGCATGTGCGAGATATATGGATCTCATATAAACAAAGATAGTGACTCTGACTGTTGTGCAGATCAATGAGTACAAGTAGAAGAGCGCATTGTAGGAAAATCAATGTTTAGAAGACAAATGTCGCACATGCGCAGCGCGACGACCACCGCCCTTTAACGTATACACAAGCGTGTGAAAATGAACGTTGTTTTTTGAGTCTCGTCAATGATGGGATGTAATTATTATAGCGAATCTGCAGGGCGAGTTACTACTCGGATATCATTTACACAGACGACGCAGTGAAACATACAACGTCCTCTCCTCGAGGAGAAACACTACGATATAGTACTCCCCAGTTTGCTTTACCGAGTGATTTCATTCGTCGGGCAATTTCCCAGTAAAGCAAATCAGTTGAATTATCCCACTGTTCATTAACCTGTGAAAGATAAGAGTTTTATTTTTGTTTTTATTTCATTTCCCCCCTCTTACATCGTTCACTCAATTCTGTGTCGAAGTTTTCAAATTAACATTTGTCTTGTAAGGGAGGAGTAGATAAGGCGGAACTCATTACGACGTTATCAACTTAACATTCAGGCTATACATACCGATCGGGCCATTGTACGAGATGCCTCATAATTTTTGTCTTCACAATCACGAGGGATATTAAATGCGGATCATATTATAACCGTTGACATTTTACAACAATACTAGTAAATGTCAATGTATGAAGAAATTCTACAGCATGATTTGCATAATTTCAGTAAGATTTATTCGCCAGTGTCTCAGCCGCTTCTCGGGATACATATTTGTCGCGTCGCAATGGTTTAAACGGTTGGTATATACCGTGCACATTTTATCGGATATGTTGATGTATTGCTGAAACGTAAATAAACTTGTCAGTGACAGAGCGTTTTTTTTGTTTGTTTTTTCAACTTAATATTCCCGAGAACGTGTTGTGTTTCCTATCGGTCGAATCCACTGGGTTATTGTGGTGATTATAATTGCCAAGAGACAGAGAAAAATATTTAAACTTTATAACTTTAGTAATGCTCAGGCGGATAGTCGAGCGATTCAAAAAAAACCTGTTGTCATGACAAACCTATTTGTGATTACCAAAGGAGCACTGATTGCTTACACGAACTAAGAGCTATCAATGTCTGTTAAATTCCGTCTATTACATTGCACTCACTTTCAAATTTTGGAAATTGCTGAACCATCGAGCCAAGTTCAATTACTTGCCTCTTCAATACAACTATCAAATCTCAGCTCTCAAATAAATAAAAAAAAACGTTCATTTTGATTTAAGTTGCAGCGCAATGGCCTATAATTCGTTAACGCTTGATCGGATACATTGATTTGAAATAAACTGTAGTCTTGTCGTTTCATCAACCGTCAGTGGTCTGACCTTACCTTTATTCTCCACTGAGCAATGCATGTTTGTGTATTAAATTACTGATTTTCTACCTGAGGCTGTCCGCGTCCGATGGGCGGCTTTGCATTGAATATCCTAGAATTGAATTAAACCTGACTTGACTCAATTTATGCCCAATTCTGTCGTAGTCGGACCTCGACATCCTGTAAAGTATTGAGACAAGAAATGCGCATGCGCGTACAACGAAAGAAGCTCATTGGCATTCTTTTCAGTTCCACTTTACAGTGACGTACCCTTTAATTTTCCAGGAAACATGTACATATTATACCAAAACCAAGGAGTGTACTTCAGTTACAGAACAAGCAACCAAGCAAATAATTCATAATTGGAAACGGGATGTTAAAATATATCTGATGACGTCACTTTTACGAAATAACAGTGAAGAGTATTTGTATGGTCGTCTAAACAAACACAGACTGAATTCTTTGCGACTGGGTTCGTTATTTCCATGCATGTTGATTTCTGTTTCCTGGTACACAACGTTAATTTCACGCAAGATAGTTTTTGATTCTCACAACGTGATTTAAATTCCTAATTTTTTTAGTAACTGCACAATTGTCATTTCTCACTCATAATGACGTAACTCGGAATTCTCGCAGAATAACTCAAATTACTCACAGAAAAAAAAAACATAATTTCTCATTTTACGGTTACAGCACATTTATTTTACCCCGCAACCTAACTCGAATTTAACACAATTTCAATTCCCAAGAACTCAGCTGCAAACTGTTCACTGCAATGTTATTGTCACTGGCGGCGCAAAGTTCTTGCAACGCGTCTTACTTTTTACAATGCAATTCTACGTCATAAAATTTATCAGTGAATATAACATATCTGAATCACAAAATGTTATAATAATTTTTTGTTCGGTATTCAAATTATACATTAGCACGTATGTCCAACATATAAAGAGAACCATGGTTGCATTGCAATCAAATAAAGATGTGTTCCGTGAACATTGGCCTCTCATTATTTAAACATGCATTTTGAGATGCGAAAAAAATGCGATAAAAAGAAAATTGCAAAAACATAAAATCTATTACAAGAAAATTTAAGTTGTGACCAAGAAAATAATATCGCTGGTGTTATAGTTTTTTTAAATTTTGTGGCAAAATAAAAAAAGCACTATTCGACCCTCACAATTCCATGTCTGCCCGAGACCAATCAACTCAGCGCGGTGTGCTTATTGAAGACGAAGAACAGCTTCTGGTCCCAGCGGACGTCACTGTCTTTGTTACACTCCCTCACCAATTACCGATCTTCCAAGTCAAATTATTCCGATGTCTAATAAGATGACCTTAATGGCTGTTTTGGTGGAATTACAGTAAAGGTAATTGGCAGAACAGTAGGCCAGGAAGCTCAAAAACGCTTTTCTCAAATGTTTTCAAACATTGAGCCCTTGTTATACGTGGACTCCTTTGAACACGCTGACGTATTCGTTAAATCTGTTTCGTTAACATAGACGAAACTCTAATCATATTATGGCCGTGTTCAATAAAATGACAGCATGTCAGTAATTGTGCCTAGTTCTCTTAGATTGGGTCAAGTTACGTTATAAATATTAATGGCCACCACTCGGCCATTTTGAATCAGAAAATCAGTAAAACAAGTGTTGAGTCACATGGACACAAGGAATAAGGGAGCACAGAAATGACATATCTAGAATATGATTGATCACTAAACGCTATGTGCAGTCTTTTTCATTCTTTCCATAAATCTAAATGAGGACTATTCGATATGTACTATTTCGTATTCCCGCGTCCCTTGGATGACGTTATTGATATACGCACCTATTGTGAGCGTCATGTTCCTCCTCCTTTAAAACTTATAAAAAATATGCATTAATCGGAGATTCCAGTGGATGATTTCCGCCATGACCAAGATTGCAAGCTACACATGGGATAACACGATTTTCCTCCCGGAAGCAAAGTCCGCATGTGATCAAATCTACCTAGGTCCCACTGCTCATTAATAGTGACATGTACATGTATTCTCTCAATGAGAAATCAGCCAATGTATTGGTTGGAGTGAACCATTTCAATATTGTATTATTGTTTTACATTGTCACTGATTTCGGAATTAAACGCGTGTTCATGTGACAATGAGCCGTTTTCGACATTTGTTTTATCAAAACACCATTCTTATAATTCGTATGAATGTCAATGTCCTGTAATGTGTCAACAATATTAAGGCTTCGTAGTAAATAGCAAAATTAATACACATTCATAATTTCTACTCAACGTCACCGAGCAAAGAGATAAGAAGAAATAATTTCACCGTAAAAACCAGAACAAAAATGCAAATTGTTGACAGTTACCAAGACAATTCGGGCTCCTGTTTCTAAACATTATTATGAAAACATTTTAATGAAAACGTTATTAGTGAAAATATACAGACGATGTCATATAACTTCAATTCAGCCCGAAACTCCTTTTAGAAACGATGGCTGCAAAACAGTTTAAAATAATCTGATTGAGTTCGCCTGATATTCGATAAATGGGTGTTGCGAATAATATATGGAACTCATGCACAATGGAACGGCTTGTCTGCTTTTATCGAGACTATTTGTTAAAACGCACGACACCAGAGTGCTTTATATTGGGTCAATTAGCAGCCAGATACCCGCGGCGCGAGCAGTCAGACGCCGATTCGTGACAGAGAGACGTTGCGTGCGGGGCATCATTGGTTAGCAACCAGGCCTCGTCAACACTGACGTGGATACGGAACGTTCTGGAATATCAACTCGCTCGATCCAGGTTACCAACTAACAATGAGTGATCTGAGCGCAAAACCGGTAAATGCGAGTCCCCCAGCGGCTTGAATTTATGTAAACCGTATATTTCTGTTGAATATTCCACAACTTTCTGCTACGCATATGAAAAAAAAGCGAAAGTATTTAGAAAAAAAAAAGTATTCAAGAATAAGTAACGCCGCTGAATGTTGGTATGCCCTTATACATGATGTAGATTCCAGCGATTCTGAAAAGTGCAATATTGACACTTTTCATGACAGTTAGCACGGTATCCGATTATTTATCGAATCACAAAACCCTGGAAGCGCTGTGGGATATATACCCGTAATTTTTGACTGAGCACCGTCTCTTCTGAAATCCTTGACTAATCATTCGAAGAATCGTATAAACTGAGGAGTTATCGATTTACTTGTAGATGCTACACGCGATGAATGTTTGAGTGAGGGTTTGATGTGATCTTATCTGTTTAATGTAGCGTATTGAACGTTTTTCAACAGATTTTCTGAAATAAAGATTTGCTTTGCAAAACCGTAGCTGCAGTGTTTTTTTTTTTTTTTTTATTTTTTCCATAAGTATGGCGGAATATGCCATTTGCGATTACGTCAGTTACTTGTGGCTTGTAGTAAATATCCCAAAATTGCACAAATCGAGTACAAATTCCGCAGTAATGCAAGCCTATAATTGACCTATCTAGTCCTGGTTAGAGCGACATACACGTATATACTTTGATGAGTTTTGTTTAGCGTAGATGATAATACGATTATCTGCCTAGAACGAGGATGCAGAAAAAAAGACAGCAGGTGTGATATACTTGGTATTTAAAACTCGGATAAAAATATCACGTTGAATCTTACAGTGATGCCTTGGTTTGTTTGTTTGTTTATTTATTTATTTGTTTATTTTTGAAGACATGTCGCTGAATATAATAAGTATGTAGTATGTCCAAACAAATCACAAGAGAGTTATGCTTTACACATGGCCGTACTGGGTTACACAGTTGTTGAAGCATCGACTTTTTACGGTATTCCACTACTTGATTTGTATTCGAAATTATACGAAATTCACGATCCGACGTGACATAAAGAAACACTCTTGTAAATTAAATTCTTCGATGATGATAATCGGCTTCCAGTGTGCAGACGTTTATAGCACCGACGAAACCACCTGCTGTTGAATCGAACACTTCATTCAGTTGCATAGACTAAACCCCAACGGTCATATAAGACACGCCCTCAAGTGACGGGCGTCTCTGTGACGTAAATAGTTGCACAGGAAAGCATTCACATCGATGATATAACAACCGACACTATAAAAAATTGCTATATTCCAAATAACCACGCAACCTAGCAGAGTTGCCCATTTTAATAACGATATTGACTTCACCCAGCTACGCCACATTGACGTCACGGAGAGCTTTGTCGCTAGAGGGCGCACAAGGTAAATTCACTGTAATTTATCCCCAGTGAATGGTCATTTTGACAAAAAGAAGAAAAAAGTAAATATTTCGTCTTTTGACAGTGTAAATTGAATTTGCTGGTTATTGTGTGAGGTAATCAGGTAGACCACACGTTTGCTGCACATAATGATAAAGCCATGAAATGTAATTTGCTGTATTCAAACAGTCTTACGATTTCTATGGAAACATACGTCATGCCTCGTAGCAGATTATTCCAGACGAACGGGTGAATCTTGAAATGACAAACCGAACTCGTTGGATTGCTGACAAAGTACAGTTGTTCTTTTCTTTTTTTTAATTAAATCTGCAAATTGAAAATACGAAAGATACATGGCACTATTTCTATAAACTGGGATGGAATTTTATGTTCTTCTCTGTGATTGGTTATACATCACATACTAATTTAAATATATGATAAATCACCATACCGAACACCATACAATAAAATCTCACCTACGTTAAAAACGCATCATTATCATATTTATCATATTTAGGCAGCATGGCTTTGTTATTCTAATTAATAAATACGGAGGTAATGTACATATTCTCCTGATGCATTCTTTAATTTTGTAAACACAATAAAAAGAAAGATAGATGGCGCCCGTTTCGGAAGACAGTAATGACATTGTCTTGTAGTGAGAAAGATAACTGTCACCTATCTCTCGTTATTGTTACTATCAGATGGCTTTGGTGAATTTGTTAAGTTAATGACGCTTTTTCGCTTATTCGTACACCGTTCGTTTTCTCATTAGCGCCGGCCACAATCTCCTTCCTAGTCATATTAACGAGTACGATCAGGTGTGCCTCCTCATACTAAGGACGTGTGAATTGTATATGATTCCTCGTAAATAAAGCTTAGAAAAAACA